GGTGACTACTAACCGGACATATGCAGCTAATAGTTAAAAGGACAGAACTACAAGCCTTAAGGCATATTGAATGGACAATAGCTTATGTAAATGTAAGGGTCATTTATCCTCGCTAAGGGAACATCATGGAAGATTCTGAATGCAAAGATTATACGGCGAGGGACCCTGAAGGGGTGGATTGTTGGGAAAACAGACTAATTTAATCAGGCCCCCTCACCTTAGGTAAGGTTGGGGTGGTGCAGCACATTCTTTGTAAATAAGTTGTGTGTGGGGAGTGGAGTTAGTGTGCATGCGTGGTGCTGCATTTTGGCTGGCATCTGCCTCAGGCATCCACCNGGATTGTAACAATGTCAATTCCCTGGCTGTGATATTGGACTATACTCAAGCAAGATGTTACTATCGGGGGAAACTGGATGAAGGGCATAAAGGATCTCTCTGTGTTATTTCTTACAACTGCATGTGAATCTATAATTGTCTCAAAATAAAAAGTTCCTAAAAATCATCATTCTGAAAACCCTAAATGAAATAACAAATGTAGGCAATGATCATAAAGGGGTGCTAAGACCATCAGGTAAAAGACTGATAGGGAACTTTAGAATCAGGGGCTACGTCAGGGGCTGACAACACCTGAATTTAGTAATCAATCTTAGTGAATGGATCAAGCCTCCAGATCTAACGCCCAGTTTATTAGCTATGATGGGATGTGAAAGAACACGTTAAACACCACCAGAAGGAAACTATCAGAAGGAGGTCACTGAACCAAAACAAACAATACAGAACTTACCAAATACTGGAAAGGGCTGGGAGGGCTAGAAACTTAATTGAACTACTGATATGCACTGAATACCAAATAAATCCAAAAAGCATTTAGCAGTCGGAGGCACCAGAGGCAGATCACATGCCTAGAAGGAGTCTGAACTTGTCCAAGATGGCATGAAAGGCCTCCCATGCTCATTCCCTCCTTGCCTCTCTGATGTTATCTGTCACTATATGATCTACCTTTCACATATCCCTCCAGCTGCAATGACAGCAGTGACAGCTCATAGCACCCCACACCTATCACACTGTCACCAAGCCTCTGCCATACCTTCCCACGCCCGGCTTCTCTCCAAACCCTTTCCATCCCTTACCCTCTTTGTCTTTGCATGTAGGCATCCTCCAGGATGCGGCCCAGGGACCATCTTCTGCAGGACACCTTGATGATCAGCTCCTCCTCTCCCCCAGGCTGAGCTATAAGCACCTCTGTCTGCCACAGCACCTGATCATTCCATATTGAAGTCATCTGTTTAAGGGGAATAGCCCACAAGCTCCTTGAGGGAAAGAACGCCATGTGGTTTATTTTCGATGCCCAGCAATTTGTGTGGCATGATGCACATCAGAGGCTCCGTAAATGTTCACAGAACCAGTGAGCACCTACAGGGCTGAGGAAAGCCTGAATTCTTTCTTTTCCTAAGGACATGCTGACATGTCAATTCTCATGGAAGACACAGGGCCCAGGAAAATGTTTGAGACCTGGGGAAAAACCTTATTGCTTCAGAATATGAAAATTTTTTAAAAATCAAAATCGACATTTAATTAAATATCACAAAACATAATATTTCAACAGCAACTCAATTCTATTCATAATTATAAATGTTAAATTAAATGTGGAATATGGGTATATTTGAATACATTTTATATGACAGAGGGTAGGGCTTTGAAAAGTAAGAGTGCCTCGGGCTTAGGTAGGTCTTTAAACTTCCCTGTCTTAAAAAACCTGTTCTGGCTGTTATCTTACCCAGCTGGTTCAGAACAATGAAGAAAAACCCATAACCAAAGTAAAATAAAACTCTTAAAAGCAAAGAAACAAATAAACAAAACAAACACAAAATCTGTGTAGAAACTCCCTCACAAGGAGCTCTCAGTTCCCTGGATGGTAACCAGTGCATCAAGAGCAGCCCAGCACCCTCCTCCTGGACCAGAGTTCCCTTGTCCTTATAGGCCAGGGCTGCTTTTCTGGCCCAGACTCCAGCACAGTGAAGACAGAAGCATGGCTTGGGAGTTTTGAGCCCCAATAGCTGAGATGGGCCTTCAACCTCCAGTCCACAGAGACTGTGGTGGAAATTCAGCAATCAGGGAAAACCAGGACAAGCTGCACGCCAGGCTCCCTAACCTGCCACCTGCCATCCTTCCCAAGCTGGCTCCTGTTCCCATGGCAGAGTTCCAATCTGAAGAACTATAAACCAGCCAGGGCAGGCTCTGGAGGTAAAAAACTAGGCACAGCACATAAAAGCTCAGAGCCTAGCATTGGGATAAGCACAAAGCACACATACTCACAAAATACTTGACTGTTAACTTTAGACTGATCTCTATCAGCTCCAAAAATTTAAAAAAATAAAAACACGTAACTACGTAAATTCTGGCTATTCAAAGTAGTTACAGTCTATAAAGTTGGCTGCAAACTCTGAATTAGCAAATCCTGAACCATTGTTCCTATGGGAAATATAGGATTAGGTTCTTGTGTGCCTCTGGTCACAACATTTTCATCAAAAGATTAATACATAAACTTGTTTCATGAGTATTTCTGTTTAAAGACACCTTATTTAATATGTATTGTTGATTCACTAACATCAAATTCTATAGCTAACAGCTAACAGCACTGTAGCTCATGCCTGAACAAGTTTATCTAATACACATATTTTCTCCATAAGGCACATCACAGCCTTCTTGTGCTTAGGAACACTAGATAGCACTTCAGCACTACACTTGAGGATCATTTTATACAGCAGAATCACCAACAAAAATCATAAAAATGCAAAAAACGCGGCACTAAATACACCACAAACGGGACACTTTACACTACAATAGCTGAAACAAGGAGGCAGAGTGCTGCCTGTTCCACCTCAGCTGGGAACATGCTGGGTGACTCAGATTTTTCACTGCTCTGCACAAGTCTGACAAAGACCAAGAAAGTATCTCACATATTGCTTTGGGGGTTACAAATAAACTTTAGTGAAGAGGTGAATTTGCAAATAGAGAATCCAAATAATTAGGATTGACTGTATTACCAAGGAAACGAGTACATCTGCCTTCCAGTATTTGAAGAAAGCCCGCTTTTGACCTTTTTTATAAGAGAATGGAATCCAAAACGAGCTATTAGAAGCTTTAAGTGTAGGAAAAGCACACAAGCACCCGGAGAAGTTGACATGGAGAAGACTCTATAACCACTGGACACAAGAGTATACTAGCTGGCCTTCCTTTAAGCAACACACAGGCTTCCAAGAAGTGTTATATATGACTGAATTAGACTCCTAGAGTGAATCATTTTTAAAAACTGAAACATTTTATACAGTTATATCTACTTCCTAAATTTAAGTATTGTAAAATCATGCTTAACATAATATGAAGCTTGCTTTTAAGCTTGTCTTACCCATACGAAAAAGGCATAAGTTTTAAAAAAGTAAGGTTCTAACTACTCTTAAAGTTGGCCTAAAGCTACCTCCGTATGTAGCAAACTGTAATCTAATATAAGGATATTTCAAAAAGTTTAGGGCAGTACAGGCCAGCAGCCAAAAACAAAACAAAAAAGAGTTTGTGGGAAAACAGAATTAAACATAATGCAAATCTTTCCATGAGCTTTTTGAAGTACTCTCCTATGTAAACAAACTGCAACCTAATTTGAGTGTATATTCTTGTAACAAATAAGGAGCCTCGGCCAATCATATCAGCAGAACTTTCAGCCAATCACAGGCAAAGGCCTGGCTGTAATCAATGGGGCTATTTCTATATGGCATTTCTTTTTTTTTTTTTTTTTGTCTTTTTTTGTGACCGGTAAGGGGATCGCAACCCTTGGTTTGGTGTCGCCCGCACTGCGCTCAGCCAGTGAGCTCACCGGCCATTCCTATCTAGGATCCGAACCCGCGGTGGGAGCGCCGCTGCGCTCCCAAGCAACACACTCTCCCGAGTGCACCACGGGGCCAGCCCTAGGGCATTTCTTTTTTCTGTTTATAAATGCGTCCTGCCCGGGGCCGGCCCGGTGGCGCACTGGATAGTGCGCCACTTGGGAAGCG